AAAATATTAATATCTAGTATATAATTTAAAAATAAAACATAATCCAAAATGACAAGAGTGAGGTTCGAACTCACGCCTACAATGTAGACTGCGACCTGAACGCAGCGCCTTAGACCACTCGGCCATCTTGCCATGCTTGTGAAACTTTATAATATAATTTAATTCTAAACTGCCTCCTTAACCTATTTTACTATTATTTATTATATTTTTACGAGTCACCTAAGCCTCTATAACTATTATAAACGCTTCTAACAATCAATAAATCATTTTAATAGTTATTTAATTTGTTATAATTTTTTATTAAATATAACTCTTTTATAGTTACAATATATAACGCGCGATATAATACAGAATATGAATTAGATATTATTATTACTATGTAAAAGTTCCAAATCTAGAAAAATGCTTTTTAACTTCAATTTTTTTAATATGCTTTCCAGGGATCATTATTAACCCTACTCTCCTCCTATTAGCTTGAAGAAAATTAGTATAAATTGGCACAATTGAATAATAAGCTTACTTTGTCTAAATTCTTGGGCCATAGATAATATTAAGTTAACATGAGAGTCCGTACATACGAATATGCCTTCAAAAACTCTCGTATCGGATATCGTTACTCTTAAAGTTCTCCCAAGGAAGCCCTTAACTTTTTCCAGATGCGGATTATACTCTGCTTCCTCGCTTATATTAGTTAGCTGAGTAGTACCTGTTGCAGCGTTATTCGCATTTGCACTTATATTACTAATAGGGTTTATCATTAACGGACTAACATTACTATTAGCGCTATTGCTATTATTATTAATTCCCGTGCTTGCAGAGGGAAATGGTGTATTAAACTGCATACTTTAAATAAACCTATAATTTTTTATAAAATATAAAAAACGTAATTTTTATTAATATTTAATTAATTCCTAATATAGATAATTATGGGATAAACTAAATCATGAGACATATAATCTAAATTATATATGGATTTGTAAAATATGACTATTATTATTCTTAAGCTATAATTGTATTCAATAATTGTTTTTTAGATTTTAGATTTAAAAAATAGATGGTTAATGTGATCATATGCAGACTGTAACTGATAAATTTTAGTTAAAAACTTGTTTAAATATCTAAGTAAAGCGATTATAACTGATTCTCTTATTTGAAAGAGCTATAAGCAACTTGAATACAATCAATTCAAATTAAGTCATATTAAAGTAAAACAATGCTATTAATTATGCTCTAGTGCTTAATAAAAGATCATTCTTGCCATACAATTAACAGTCTGATAATAACTTGCTCTATAAAATCATTAAACTATACACACATAACTAGCTTAAATAATGATAATTTAATTACAAAAATTATGGTTATTTAGAATAAATATTATTATTATTATTAACTTGAGTCTACTAAATTTAATTAATTTTTTCCTTCAAAAGGCTTAGACTTAGGGGGGTAGTTAGGTTGCTCTCCCTTAAAAGGTACCCAGTTGAACTTTAATCCTTTGCGTATTTTTTCGGCATGTTCACTTTGTTTTCCCTGCCAAGTTAAGGTACCAGTAGCGTAACCATGAGATAAATCCTAATTAACATTATTAGTTAAAAATTATATTGCGCTTATTGTTATTAGTTTACATTTCTCAAAAAACATTTATCAATTTCGTAATAAGTATCGGTTAAACCCTTTTGTAACCATTCTTTGGAAGTCTAAAATATTAAAATTAATAATTTTAAAATTGATGTTAATAATTCAACTTACAACTCTTAAACCTTGGCCATTATTTTTATAGGTTGATAATAATTCAAATAAATTTTTCTCTCTTCTATTATAGAAGTAGGTAGGGATCTTATTCTTTTTTAATAAAAAATTACCAAAACTAGACATATTTTTAATCTTTTCTTTTAATTTATCGTAACTGTTTTTGATTTTTTTCATTTTATTTTAAAATTTTAAATTAATTTATATTATGGGATTATTTTGCCTTAAATATCTTGATTAAGGGGAATTTTGATTTATTACTGAAGTTATATTAATATAAAATTAGTACTACTGTTTTTATATTTTATCGTATAATTTAGTAAACATCTAACTTACAATTTATAAACAAATGTATCAACATGATCAATATATTTTTAAAAACAGTTATTTATCTAATTTTACCCCACAAAATAATCACAGCTATTA